TACCTGATATATTTCCTGGGGAAAGATGATTACTATCTACCTGATATATTTCCTGGGGAAAGATGATTACTATCTACCTGATATATTTCCTGGGGAAAGATGATTACTATCTACCTGATATATTTCCTGGGGAAAGATGATTACTATCTACCTGATATATATCCTGGGGAAAGATGATTAATATATACCTGATATAATTCCTTGGGAAAGATGATTACTTTCTACCTGATATATTTCCTGGGGAAAGATGATTACTATCTCCAGATCTAGAAAATCCTTCATTATGTCCGGATCCATTCATTCTGGGCGACATGGGTTCTGATTTAACCTAAATGAATTATAATATTGTATAGACCTATGCATCGAGTCAAGAATAGACATAGAAATGCAGAAAAAGCAATATACATAAATCTTCTGAAAAGGTCATAATTTCTTTGAGTTGGAAAAATATAAGGATTCGAAGATAAGAGTTTGTGTCCTAGACTGAATTCCTTTGTTCTCCAATTCTATGTATTTGCCTGTATATGGCGCACAACTATACATGGTTAAGAATTTATAGAAATTATTAAAACTTGCAGTTTTGTATTGCTTCCCTCCTACATTTAAAGGAATGGAGTATTACACAAACTTAAGTATTTTAATCCCTATATATTTGAAACCTTTTGGTGTAAACCTTTGAAATCTTTAATATAGATTATTTGATCTAATAGAAATCATAGTTTATCAATCAATGGGTTGCAAAGATATAGGGTTTAGAAAGTTAGAGTTTGTGACAAAGACGTAATTCTTTTTTAAGAATGGGAAAATACGTGGTCATGTAATTCTTACAATGAGCCGAAAAACTAAGAAAATAATATTCAAAAATCTTATCTGATATAACGGCAAATATTAATTAAAATTACATGTACACCCACTGTCGAATTGTCAATTTTTCTACAAAATGTAGAAGCTAATATTTCATTTTGCAATATTGCATATCTTGAGACTGGACTTTAGGGAGAGATACTTGAAATGCATATATATATTGTATATATATATATATATATTGTATAGATATATATATATATTGCCCTTTAAACAATTAAATTGGAATTAGGGAAACAACTTTTCCAAGTGTCTTGAAGAGATTATAGTTTAAGGAATAAAATAAATACTTTGTACAATGTACAATTAAATCGTTGGGTTTAGCGGAAAGTGAAATGATTTATTTAAACATTATATTAAAATATAAATTTCTATGAGATGTATTGAACAGACCACAAACTTATATTGAAACTTTTAGTAACATTTTAAACTTGGATACATATTTAGGAATGAATTTAAAATTCAAGTTTATTTTTATTAAAATGTTGTTATAGGGTAAAATTATACCAAACATTCGAATTTGTCAAGAACCGTAAAAAGATGTTTTCCAACTTCTGAAGAAAGGAGAAGAATTTGAAAACTTGTTGATTTTATGAACTTTATGTAAATATGGAAATTCTCGTATAAAACTGAGAAATTAAAAATAGTTTTCTTAATATTAAGCACAGTTAGCTTACATTTAAAAATCATAAGACTAACTTTTCGTGGGAAAAAATAGAAATATGTTAAAAAAGTTTGTGGCAAAGACTTAATTCCTTTGTCAGGATCATTATTTTTTGGAACATCTTTCACCGGTAATATTGGCTCAGCTGTGTTTTGAATTCCAAATATTATGTGTTTAGTAGTGAACAATCCCTTTTGGACAAACCTTTGGGCTGTGGTGAGCAGGGGAGAGCGGGAGCTGATGCTGGTTTGTGTGGTTCCATTGATGAAGGTTGAGGGATATATCGGAGAATTCTCCGGGTCCCTGATAGGACTGGAGCCCGGAGGAGTAGTTACCGGCTGGAATTCCATTCTGAAATTAAATTCAATGTTTATTGTGTCCTTGGACTTTAACCACACCTGGAGAATTGGAGTGTACAATTACTTGATGCGTTTATCTATTCCACAGATTTAAAAGATAGGACGATATCTAACTCTTAAAAATGTTCACAATAAATAAAAAAGGAGTCCTTCTATTTTGTAAATTGTTCAATCAATCAATTGTAAATCTACGAACATTGTGTCGAGAAGGATTTTGTAAAAATGTTGTGTATTTTTTAAACAAATATTCCATAATAAAACAGTAGCTGCTACATTTCATGTCATATCTGTGTAATCTGTGACTAGATATCATTATATTAATCCATTTTCTGGAACTAGGTACCGAGGCCATTATCCTGAAAGAATTAGTAATGGATTATCAAAAATCCATGCACTCCATAATTTCAGTAAAAATTAGACGTAGTTTTCAAATGATAATTGAGATCCAGAGAGCTACAGGGTGTCCCACATCTTTAAAATGAGATTTTAGGACTTGTCAGAAAAATAAAAAAGATGAATCATTTAAAAAAATGTATAAGGCTAATATAAATGTTTTCTTGCAGAAAATACTAGGTTTTTCGACTATTATTTGCGTATTTTTGCATTAAAGCTTGGAGATAATCTAATATGATATGGGACGCTCTGTATAAAAGTTATACATCAATCTACTAGACTTTGATTTTACATAACTAACTAACTTTTCCTTTTTTATTGACCTAAAAAATTTAAGTTTTGAAACTACAAAGATTTGTTTCAACTTTTTCTTCAAAGTTTCCGTTATTTATATATTCACTGTATCACATATTTATATATTCACTGTATCACATATTTATATATTCACTGTATCACATATTTATATATTCACTGTATCACATATTAATATATTCACTGTATCACATATTTAGGGGAACTAAATCAATTTTATTCGAAGATACAAAAAGTGCAATTACAGGGGACATTAATTCCAAAACTAACACTTGGCCCATTTCTAACACTGAGTGTTAGAAATGGGCACAAATTGAAAGACTGGGGTTTAGGATCCCGGCCCATATCCAGAGTAAAAGTCAATAGTAAGAATTATAACCATCATTTTATAATGCATCATGACAGACAACAGTTCCGAATTTTAAACTATTTTCTTAAATCAAAATTAGAAAAGAACTTCTTTTTAAATTAAAACCCTTGACCGTTTTCAAGTCAATGTCAGGTTTTCCCTTTTCGAACATATCCTGAATTTGAATCGTTGTCGCGTTTTCAAGACAAAACCCACTTCCCCGTTTTTGAGCATAATCCGCAATTTAAAACATTAAACTCATTTTCATAACTTACAAAATAAATTACTGAAAGTAAAAATTATTCTATGAAGCCTAAATTAACTGCTGAATCATATTTAGAATCTAAGTTTTCACATTTTATTTGTTAAATAACAGAATAAAGTTGATTTAGTTTCTTGCATTTCAGTTAAATCTACATTGCAAAAACAAAATAGAATTAATGTTTTGATTTCTCAATGCCGTAATGTTTTTGATACAACAGAACAATATGGTTTATTTTCTATTTTTTCATATTTTATCTTATCAAAAATTTTTTTTTTTGTGAGGCAAGTGCGTAAATACTTGAAAATTGACATTGATATGAATTCGAGTAATTGCCTCAAAACCAGGATATGTTTTAAAACGCGGCATCAGCTGAAATCCGGTAAAAGTTTTTAAAATAAGGAAATGTTCGAAAATGAAATCAAGTATCATTTAAAACTAGTTCTCACACAAACTAGTTGACATTTCTTGTTTCAATGAATAGTTTTAGCCATTTTTTTAAATGTACGGTATAGTTTTGTTTAACTCGGCTTTTATTCAAAGATATATACTCTTGAAAAAGATAACTTGCAGATTTAGCCCATTTCTAACACTCAGTGTTAGAAATGGGCGAAGTGTTAATTTTGGAACTAAGAAGTTGAGTCTTTGCCACAAACTCAAATTTTCTAATCCCTATATCTTCAGAACCCAATGTCGTAGACCTTAGATATTTCAAACTATAAATGCTGTTCCATAAAATAACAAAAATTTGAAATATCAAAGATGTCCACCATCAGATTGCAACGATATAGGGATTAGAAAATATGAGTTAGTGGCAAAGACTCATTTTCCTTCCCCTGAATTAGTGATTCACGGTGTTCCATTCCACGGGAAAATATTCAAAGATTATGATTAGTGGATTTCTGGAGCAAAAACGTGCAAAAAGATATACGGAGATTTATTTAAGATTTGAAACCGTTTATTAATTCTAGGTTTGAGCACTGTAGTACAGAATATTATTTAAAAATGTTGTATAGATAATTGATGTAACTTTAAAAAAAAATAAGATATAATTCTGAACAATGTCGTTGCTGCCGGATGCGTGAAACAATTTATATTTATTTTTATTCTTTATCATATTTACTTAGAAATCTTTATCTTACTTTAGATATTTCTTGATATGGTTTATTTAAGGATCAATTATAAAGTTCAAAACTTCGTTAGTCTTTTTGACGTAAGTCGATGTGAAGAAATCGGAATTGAATACAGCAACATTGGACATTTCTGACAAATATGAGAATGTAACACATAGATTAATTTGAAATGACTTTTCAAAATGTTTTGAGATTTTAAACTAAAACATGTTTTATAAATACTATTATAAATACTATTATAAATACTATTATAAATACTATTTTCTGAAAAGAGTTGAACTGATTACAGGACGTGTCCCACGAAACATGACAGTTAGTAAATAGTTTTGAATGTCGTCTTCCATGAACTGTATTTTAGATATTAAAGGCTGTTTGCAGTTTTTTTCGTTTAACAAATCTTTTGCTCAAATATATTTTACTTTGAAGGTAATTTTACTATAATATGTCTCCTATATAATATTTTTATTATTGTCTTTGGTATTAAACAACTTAACAAATTATGGAAGAAGACTTTCTAAACTAATTTCCAACTGTCATGATTCGTGGGACACCCTGTATTTCAAACTACAAGTTCAGGCGAATCAAATAATTAAAGTTTAAAAAAAAGAAGCGGTTTACAAAAAGATTAAGGATTGGGAAAGTATTTAGTTCCTTTAAAGGAGAAGGTTCAAAATATTTGCGAGAAGAAAAACTACATCAAAGAATCGAATGACCCCCTCCCCCCTTAAAAGGAGAAGGTTTAAAATATTTGTGAGAAGAAAAACTATATTAAAGCATCGAATGACCCCCTCCCCCCACCCTTGAAAGGTCTGCTTACCACGCTTATCTCCGGCTCTGATCTGGGTTGAGAGGATGGGATGACAACCCTGAGGTTTGAACGAGGAGGAGACGGCCCTCGTCGCTTCGGAGATATCTGAGGGTTTGGAGAACTAGAGGACGGATATGAGTTCCCGGAGATCTCAAGCATGGCGGAGCCTGGTCTAGAGGAGCCCTGGAGCATAGAATCTCCGCCTTCATATCCGCCACAGTTGACTGGTACACTGACCGGCATACTAAACCCTGACGGTTGGCCTCCGCCGCTCTAATAATTAAACATATTGATGATATTTTCTTAATTTTAGACAAGTTTGATAACAAAGTTTGATAACAAATGGGTTTAGGTAATATGGACCCTGGCCCCTTATATTTCTTGGAAACCTTTAAACCATTTTCTGAGAAAAATTAATGTGCATTTTCTTGTTTTAAATCTGAAAATTGATAACTTTAAATCTTTAAAAAGTGATTTTTTTCACTTTCTAAGAAAGAAAAAGACGACAGTTAAAAAATGTCGAAGGGTCATCGTTGTAAATCTAAGTTTGTTTAAAACTACGTTAGCAGTCTCTTTAAAAAACTAAAAATTACCCTGGCACTGTTGATCTGGTTCCTCTGCATCATAAGGTGGAACTCCTCGTCGATCTTGTTGTACTTGGCCTCCGTTCTCGGAGTCAAACTGTAGTCGCCGTCTCCGTCGCTATCATCTCCTCCGGGGCTACCCAGACCTATCTTATCCTTCTTACTTAACGCCTGAACAAATATTAAACCGGTTTAATATTGTATTTGGCGGATTTTCATGCTTTGAATTGGCGGATCGAGGGATTTGATTAAAATAAGACTCAACTTTGAGACTAATTTCCACCAAAGCCAACCAAGGTCGGTTAATTTTATTGGGCCTGAAGTTGAGACTAAGAGTTGGCAGCGGTCGATGACACAAGCTAATTCTTGAGTTGGGCCTAAGATTGAGACTTAAACCTGGGTTAAGATTCGAACCGAATTGCTTTTAAATCGCGGGCTCAGATTTTATGAATAGGAGACAGTGTAAGCATAATTCAGCTTAAACCGGAGCTTTTAATTAATTCTGATCCCTATTATATTTATTAATATTTAATAGTTTTATCTTTGCAACCTGGTTGCGTAAACCTTTGATATTTAAAACTTGGAATTTTATAAGATCAAATTATGCTTAGTTTAGCTCATTTAACTTTATAAATTGAGAATGACAATAAAAAATAAAAATGTGTAATCTAAATCTAATTTCTAGAAATATTTAATTGATGTACTCACGAATTTAAATGGACATTTTACGTTTGTTACAAGGTTTCTCAAAAACAAATTAAAAAAGATCTTATATATATATATTTTCTGTTGGATCAAATGGTTTAAGTTAAATGACAAAGGTTTACATCATCAGGTTGCAATGATATAGGGATTAAAATATAAAAGCTTGTGACGAGTGTTTTAGATAAATTTGATAAATTATGGGGGCGGATACATTATTATGAATTATGAGTCCGAATTTAATGAATTTGAGTCGCGTCTTAAATCCCCCCCCTCAACCGGTTTCAATTAAGCGCCGGCTTGAATCTTGAAACAATGAATACGATTTTAAGAGGAACCTATCATATTTGAGCGCCGGCTTAAATTTAAGCCTCGGCTCAAATTCTTTAAGTTCGGCCTCTGGTATATTAATTTCATCCTCATTATTTGTAATCATGAAACAACATAAACTATTAATGTAAAATTTGTAAAAGTACCCGGCCGCCGAATTTCAAGCAGATATAGAGCAAGCTGTACAGTTGTACATACAGACTATATAAGGCAGAACGGGACAGATGTACATACAGACTATATAAGGCAGAACGGGACAGTTGTACATACAGACTATATAAGGCAGAACGGGACAGTTGTACATACAGACTAAGGCAGAACGGGACAGTACGCCTAAAAATTAGCTTTTTATGGAAATTATAGTGCGACACAACAAATTTCGGAATTTTATTAAGTACGGATGATGTGAAAAGGTTTCTGGAAATCATATAAAAATAAATATCGTCACTGGGCCATAATGTTCAGATTAACATCACACTTTATAGATATTTTGAAATCTAGTAAAATTAAGCGTATTTTATTTTTCAATATTCAGTCGTCTTCATTTTCCCTTTTGCGATATTTGCGTTGTAATAAGTTTTGTTTTATTGCACATTTAATGCAAAATTGATGAGAATGAAAAAGTAACCAGTTTAACACAACGCTTTATGCATTAGTTAACAGAGGTAAAAAAGTTTAACTGAAACAATTTCATTTGCTCAGTGGTGTGTCGATTCACGCAATGATACACTAATCTTTTATCTGATCAGTGGTGAATAATGTATCTTAATTTGTGTGACTGAAAGTTGATTTTCTTCAAATACGATTCTCCATAAACGACTTGCGCATTTATGCTGAGGAAACAATGACGAAAATAAACCAGATTCAACACGTTTGCCGGAGTCTGTTGTGAATTGAACATGCAACTCTTTTTAAATGGAGGGTAACATATGAAATTACGTCTATAGTTTCACTGTATTCTACTGCTGCACGGTACTACCTTGTCCATGTCTATGCTAGTTCTACTCCTGTATTCTGCTGATGCACGGTACTACCTTGTCCATGTCTATGCTAGTTCTACTCCTGTATTCTGCTGATGCACGGTACTACCTTGTCCATGTCTGTGCTGGCGTACTGGTAGAGTTTGTTGGAGGAGGAGAAGATGATGAGCGCAATCTCACAATCACAGAGTACGCTAAGCTCGTACGCTTTCTTCATCACACCAAACTTACGCTTGTTAAACGTAACCTGGGAAAAAGTAACCATATAATAAAGGAATTGAGTTTTCGCAACAGACTCAAATTTTCTAATCCCTATATCTTTGCAACCTGATGGCGTATAACTTTGATATTTCAAACTTAGATAATTTGATCTAACAGAATTCATAGTTTGAAATATGTAAGGTGCTTTATTGGATTGAAAAGATATAGGGACTAGAAAATCGGCGTTTGCCGTAGTCTTAATTGATCCTTGAACAGTTTTACCATAATTAGAGTGGAAGGATCGGCAGTGCCATTTAAATGAAAAAGAATGGCTTCAAGGATTTGCTGAGATATGCATTAAATCTATTTCTTAGCATTTTGACCGTAATATTCCACGGGCAGCCGTGGTACATTTGAATTTCCAAGCCGGGTCAACCTTTCCGGTCCCAGTTTTTACTGTATCGCCCGGACATTGGGTAAATAAAGCAGACACCCAATAGGACTAGTCGGTGCAACAAGGTTGACGCAGTCAGACTTTAGGTTGAATTTACTTTTACTAAAGGGTCAGAGGTGCGTGATTCTCTTTTTTTGCCTGAAAAAAAATATTTAAAGCCCACTGCATTATTAAAGAAAGTAAGTTTTAGCCCTCCCCAAATTTTTTTTAAATCTCGGAATGTTTAAATCTGATGAGATAACAATAACACACTAAATCTAACAATAAAATTAACTTAAGAAATACTCCTTTAAATTTGTTTAATTAAACGTATACACAGACGCTGCAAAGAATCAATGAAAAAAAAACTAAAATTTTCATCTATGAGCAATTCTTTTATAGGTACTGAACACTTGCCCCAAACATTAATTTAGCTATAATGATGATGTAAAGATTGAAAACTAGAGTTGTGTTTAGAAAAAGGTTTTTGCGCTTTCACTTAATTTTTTTCTCTCAAAAATATCTTTGGTAGATTTTACAAAAGACAAAAAAGGTTAATTCATTTTATTTCGAAAGGGGAAATGGAAAAATGTATTTGCTTTAGTCATAAGTAATTGAACCTTTGAAATTGTAATGGATTAATGAGATATATTAATAATAAGCAAACTATTTAATTTTACTTTTAAGAATTTTTAAATTTCACCTGTCGGTTTCTTTCGTCCGTAATCCGCGAAATTTGTATTTTTTTCCGACCCATGGTGGGGGCGTTGTAGGACAGTTTCAGGGATAATGTGCTGGCTGACTATATTCTCAGTGCATCTAAATAAATATAATTTTTATTAATGTTGAATACAAGAAATGTGACAACTCAGTTTTAAATAATCTTTATATCAATGATTGATATATGTAAAAATATCGCACACTGAAATACTGTGCATTGTACAATGTTTAGTAGAAGAATGAAAAACTTTAACAATTTTTTTAAACACTTTTCTTCTGGAAAATTCAAGTCTTTAAAAACATTAAAAAATCATATTCAGGTTTTATTCCACCCCACAGAGAATATTCAGATTCGAAACCATTTTTCAAAATTTTTTTTTTCTTTTTTTATGAAAGCATGTGTAGGTGCAGGATAATGATAAACAATTGTCGTTTAACACGCATAAGGAAAATCATTATTAGCCCATCATTAATTTTAATTGTAAATGTTAGAATATTTAAAAATATCCAGCAGCATGGTGTATATCAAGGTTGTCAATTAATTGTTAAGAAATAAGGAAAATTATCTTGCGTGGGCAAAGCAAGAACGTTAAAAAATATCAAGGACCTAAAAGTTATTTTACGAAAAGATTTGTTTAAATAGTTTTGGTTATAAACTGTAAGCGGAGTGTATTTCTTCACATATACGCGAACGGTGGGTTAAATATCTTCACATATACGCGAACGGTGGGTTAAATATCGAGTCGATAATTCTTATAATTGATAGAATATGTCGTCTTCCACTATACTACGCATGCCTCTATTTTTTTTAATTGTTGTATCACTGAAAAGGTAAACTGTAAATCTGAATGTATTTTAACCTTTGTACCATTGAAAAGGTGAACTTCTGAACGTATTAAAACCATAACAAATTACAAAACACACTTAAAAGAATAAGCAAAGATGACATTCATTCACTTGATATCGGTAAACACTCTCTAACCACAGATTAATATTTAGTCTGCTATACAACTTAGACACATCGATCAGACTAAGGAAAATGAAGTTTTTTTTTTACTTTTTCGTGGGGAGGGGGGGGGGGGGTTGTACATAAGAGAAATCACCGCAACCCTTTACCCACCGTTCTAACGCCTAATATAATATATGAATCATCCCATTGTCTTTGGATTCTTTTAATAGCAAAGATTTCTTAGTCTATGGTTGAAAACTCTTGTTGGCATTAAATTAATTAAAAATCAACTTAATTATTAATTCTTTCTTAAATTCAAACACGTTGTCTAATAAGAGATTAGTTAAATTCAAACATGTTGTCTAATAAGAGATTAGTTTAGTTCAAACACGTTGTCTAATAAGAGATTAGTTTAGTTCAAACACGTTGTCTAATAAGAGATTAGTTTTGTTCTTCAAAGAATAACTTCTAAATCAGAATCCAAACTCAGTTTTTCTACGGAACTGCCGCTGTATATTTAAATGATGCTATATTTAAAAACTGGGGGATGCCATTATTACTTTATCTTATAAATAATGCTTAAATAACATTTAATTCTGGCAATTTCTGCCAATGTTTCTGCAGTAGAAATCTGATAATCTTGCTTTTATAGAGAAACCACGATTGAAAATAATTAATTCTAAAAGATTAACACATAAATATTTTATTCATTCTGGATCAGACGAAGCTTTAAAGGGTAATATTATGGAGAATTGACTAAATTTACGCCTACAGTTCCTTTAAACACTCTCCGCTCTAGACTAGTTTAGAGATTTTGGGACGGGGGGGGGGATGCAAATATACAGGTGTTAAAGAGTTGGAGGAGGAGAAGATGATGAGCGCAATCTCACAATCACAGAGTCCGCTAAGCTCGTCCGCTTTCTTAATTTAGAAAGATTTGTATTATACTGTGCAGCATGATGAAGAATATGGGGTGTAGGGTTCAGGGTTAATATCCAGGTTGTATTCAGGACTGCATGTAAGTTTATCTGCTCCGACCTCATCTTACACCAGAGAGGGAGAGAATACTTATATCGTCCTTAAACCTTCAGTTTATCAAACAAATATTTTAGATTTTTAGACTTTGAAACAATGGAACTCAAATTTCTTAATCCCTATATCTTTGCAACCTATGATGTATATTTGATATTTCAAACTTTTAATTCTGTTCGATGTCGATCAATAGTCTAAGTTTAAAAAAAATAATAATTGATTTTTCTTGAATTTTTCCCCCAGGGGTTATGCATGTTTTTATTTTTTGTTTAGGGGGGAGGGGTTTATTTTCACTAAATAAATTAGGGAAAATATATGATTTTTCTGGGAAAAATTAATAGAGCAAAAGCATCAAAAACGTTTTAAAACTTATCCTTTGATGTCAAATTTTTCATATTTTCCCCACTCGATCAGAATAATCAAAATCATATTCTTCTAGCTACAAATCTTAAATCATGCATGATCAATTATTATAATTCAATGTTTCTTTGTTTCTTGAAAATTCATGACCTGAGAAGCCCAGGATTTTCTCATTATTTAAAAATGATTATTCATAAATCCGTTTTAAAATTTATGAAGCTCCCAATATTCCAGGTTACTGATGATCTTTAATATAAAAATAATGTAAAAAAATATGTATGTGACGTGTGTATGTATATTACCTATCGCCGACTAACCCGTAACCCTTTAGAGAAAAAAGTGGCCCCTCTCGATTCCCTCATTTTAAGAGTTTTTAAATGGACTGTAAGCGTAATTTCAAGGGAACCACCTTGCAACGATGGCAATGCCAGATTTACAATGGGGTACCCTTGAAACTTTTGTCGATCAATTATGAATTACATTTCAATTTTTTTTTTAAAACTATTAATGTTCCTTGCGCATTTCTTGTCTATAATAAGCAATGGAGAAACTCATAGAAATAAACACTTTTCGAGTCAGAAAAACGACAGTATCTTTAACGTATTTTTATCAGACTTAGATTTCAAGGGTACTGTTGTAATGCTGACATTGCTATCCTATCATGGAGAAGCACTTAAAATAAAAATTACAGTCACTTTGATGAAATTGGTTTCTGCAGTCCGTGAACTGTTTCTAAAATAATAGTGGCAACGCCGCCGGCCGGGAACTTTGGCATGTTACAAACAATTTTTAAAATCTAAATTATACTTAACCATTTTGATAAACATGAGTAGGAAAAAGCAAAAAACAGTAAACAGTTTTTGTTGACGTATTCTATCAACTAACACTAACTTAACGTCAGCTGTCTATAATAATAACAAAAAGTAGGCTGTTATTTTTTTCCAAGTTTTCAAGCTTTATCTCACGGATTTAGCATGAACCGGACAATTACGTAGTATATAATCAAGGACAGAGAGAACTAGAATTTTGGAAATCTGAAAATTCTTTTTAAGAATTATTTTTAACCGCGCTTTTGAATAAATTTATTTTTATATTTCTTTTAAAACTTTCCATTGATGCGCAATAAAGCAACATATTTTGATGGTTTCTTATTGATTAAAGGGTCTGTAAGCAGTGGTGCAACTAGGGGGGGCGAACTGAGTTTTGCCCCCTACCTCTCAGCATATTTCGTCCCCTCTCCCCCCCCCTCACTTGACTCCAGCATGATCATGATTGTACACCATCTTTTATAAAATTTTGCCAATAAAAAACAAATACCCAAACTTTTCTTTGGCGCTTCGCACATAATTTCGAATATGATTTCTAACTGGTTTCTCGTTTTCGACTTCAAGAAAGCAGTCATTCTTAAATTATCCTCTCAAAAAACTTGTACGTTTATATGTTACTTATCATGAGTATTTTAAGGATTATATCGGACTATTAGGACTTTTGCAGACTATAAGAGGAAAAAGGACTTCGATCAGAAAGACTATTAGTATTATTGATTATGGACGGACTAAAGAAAGTCAAGTACTGCCAGGATCTACTTAATACTTAGGACTTCACAGACCTATACTATTAATCTTAAGGACTTCACAGACCTATACTATTAAGGGACTATTAAGGGACTATAATATGACAAGTGAATTATTTACTCACTTTACTCACTTTATATAAATACATGACTAAACCAGGGACTAACACACACTAAGATATACATGAAAAGAAACTAAAAGAACAGAAATTGTCGGCGCTTCGCGCAAATGTTTGATTAATTTAATCATGTTCTTCATTCTAAAGCTGTTGGAAGTATATTAATTTCAAACACAAGAACAAGCCATGAATATTATACGAATTTGTTATATTATTGAGCACAGAACCAAACCTTCAACAATTTTAAAATGCTGTTTTTTTTACTTCAAATCCTGAAAACAGCGTTTTCTTTTTGAAAACAATTTCGAAAGGGGGGTGGGGTAAGACCCCCATGTACCCCCCCAGCCCATCAAAATCAAATTTCGCCCTCCCCCTCACAAAAGTGCTAGTTGCCCCACTGACTGTAAGCGTAATTTTAAGAAACCCCCCATTCCAAGATCTAAATGGAACTGATCGAATCACAACGGTACCCTTGAAACCTTTATCTGATCAATATTGTTGATACAGTTGTTTTTCTAGACTTTGGAGGAAAAAGTCATTTTTGTAAAGAAACCACAAGCAAAATTAATTCGTTTTTTTTTTATATCATAAACATTGATATACAATTCATAAAGCTTTTCAGGGTATACCGTTAATGCCAACTTTGCCTGGAGGGTCACATTGAAATTACGCTTACAGTCCCTTTAAAGGATAAATACAGGAAGAAAATTCCAACTTACGTCTACAATATTCTTGTTTGTGAGGGATTCATGAGGCTCATTATATTCAGTATACTTCAGTAGAACCTAAAATTAAATAAAAATTATGATTAAATTCAGTTTTTTCTAATTCCTTTCTTAACAACCCTTCGTCTTAGACCTTAGATATTTCAAACTATGAATCCTGTGATATCAAACTATCTAAGTTTGAGATACAAAAGGTGTACACCATTAAGTTGCAAAGATATTGGCATTAGAAAAGTTGAGTTTGTTAACGAATTATGAACTGAAATTATAAATCATTATTGTAATCATTATTATTATTATTATTATTATTATTATTATTATTATTATTATTATTATTATTA